TGATCATCTTTCAATTAGTTCAGAACGAAATGATGTTCGAGGGTTTTTTTTATTTTTAGCTTTAGTGGCCCCTACAAGGGGCTAATCAAATTAATATAAGCAAACTTGATAAAAGAGTACCCACGAATGCTACAGACAAAGTTTGGTGATCATCCATCAATTGGTTCTGAAGTAGGAGATGTTTAAAGGTTTTTTCTATTTTTAGCTTAAGCGGCCCCTAAAAGGGGCCAATCAAATTAATGTGAGCAAACTTGATAAAAGATTACCCGAGAACGCTGTCGACAAAATTTGGTGATCATCCATCAATTAGTTCTGTAGGAGAAGATGTTTAAAGATTTTTCTATTTTTAGCCCTAAAGACCCCTAAAAGGGGCCAATCAAAATACTATTAGCAAACTTGATAAAAGACTACCTAAGAATGCTACAGACAAAGTTTGGTGATCATCCATCAATTAGTTCTGTAGAAATAGACGTTTAAAGGTTTTTCTATTTTTAGCTTTAGCGGCCCCTAAAAGGGGCCAATCAAATTAATATTAGCAAACTTGATAAAAGACTACCCAAGAATGCTACAGACAAAGTTTGGTGATCATCCATCAAGTAGTTCTGTAGAAGAAGATGTTTAAAGGTTTTTCTATTTTTAGCCCTAGAAACCCCTAATAGGGGCCAATCAAATTAATATGAACAAAATTGATAAAAGAGTACCCAAGAATGCTGCAGACAAAGTTTGGTGATCATCCATCAATTAGTTCTGTAGAAGAAGATGTTTAAAGGTTTTTCTATTTTTAGCTCTGCTGACCCCTAAAAGGGGCCAATTGGAATGACATGAGCACATTCAAGTGTGACTGTCACAAGGATGCTACAGACCAAATTTGAAGTAAATCTGCCCAGTTGTTTCAGAGAAGAAGATGATTGTTGACGCATGACGACGGACGACGGACGCCGGAGCATCCCCCTTTGATACTAATAGCTCACCCTGAGCCTTCGGCTCTGGTGAGCTAAAAAGGGAGAAAATAATTTTGAGCATGACAGAGCATGCAAGAGTGCTTGTGTATGTATGTGTATATGCGTGTTTGTGTGTGTGTGTGTGTGTGCGTGCGCGCGCGCGTGTGTGTGTGTGTGTGCGTGCGTGTGCGTGTGTGCGTGCGTGTGTGTATGTGTCTGCATGTATGTGTGCGTGCGTTTTTGTGTGTGTTTACATTACTGTTTTAGAATTGAATAATTATTAAAATGGAATATATTATGTTGAATACATGTAACAACAGTATGTTAACTGGAATGTTTGTAATTCATATATGAAAGAACATAATAAATGGAGAAAAAAATATTTTGGAGGATTAGGCAAAGAAAGAAACAAATGATTAAAGAGTGAAAGTACAAGAGTTTTATTGACAACTATTCTTCCAATCGTTATAATTATTTACTAACATACAAAGTTAAACACTCTCGCTTACAGAACTGGAACGCAATCGAAAAATATTTAATATATAATTTAATATTTACTAATGGGAAAGACAGAATTATTATTTTCTATGTTAATGTTCTTCTTTAGAAAATTTATCTTTCAAATTAAATTCGTTTTCACAAGAAACCATTATACTTCAATTCATTTATAAAAGTAATATATTGTTTTAAAAAGATATCCGGGACTTTGAAAAGAATAATATTTTTAGCACAGACACTAATTAAATTGTATGCGCAATTGTATTGCCGAATGGCATATTCTCAAGTCAAGCAATCCTAAATTGTATATAACTGCCTTGAAAGACCTTATTAAAAAAGTGTCGAATTACACACACTTAGACGATTTGTCTTAATGAACAAGTCACGAACAAAACTATTGCCTGAAAATATTAAAATTAAACAGATATCTCATATATGGAATCAAAAAAATGGTAAATTAAAAGCTGAAAGCAAAAAGGAGATCTTACTAAATATTGAGTTACAATGGCTTCTAACACGACCTGCATTTTCCCTATTGAACATAGAAGAACCGAAAGTGGGTGTTATAATAATTGATGCCAGCACTATTAAGTGTTGAGAATTGAGTTCCGCTCAAGCCGGTGCTAGGGGGCGTGAGGGATGTAGCACAAATTCATTATCCCTCATGTACAGACTCAGTCAAACCGAGTCTGCAATTCTCTTGTAATTTTGTTGTGATTAATGCTTCCGAGGGATCACTTTGTTTCCAGACTTTTATACTTCAGAACAGCAGGTGTCAAGTGCTGTGTGGCAGCTGTAAAACGTTGCCCCGTATTTCACTTCAGTGTTGTTATATTTTTCTGGTCCTTCGGGATCATTGATGCCAGCACTATTAAGTATTGAGAATTGAGTACCGCTCAAGCCGGTGCTAGGGGGCTTGGTGGATGTAGCACACATTCATTATCCCTCATGTACAGACTCAATCAAACCGAGTCTGCAATTCTCTTGTAATTTTGTTGTGAATAATGCTTCCGAGGCATCACTTTGTTTCCAGACTTTTATATTGCAATAAAATCACTGTTGACGTACTATATTTAGAAATGATACGTAATCATTATATATCTATCATATGTGATGTAACCACTAAAAAAGCGTCGCGCTGAAGTAAGTTTGGAAACAAATCAGGCACAATTTAGATAAATATCAGGTATTGCAGAATTTATTTGTTTATGCCGTGTTAGAATCGAAATAATATATCCAAATCGGTGATTTTATCGCTTAATAAAATCACTTGTGATATAATTCCTCGCACTCGAACTCCAAACAGTGATTTTATTGAGCGATAAAAACACAGTTTGGGATACCAGTATATTATTTCTTAAAAAAATATAGATCCAAGTTTATTATTCTTTTTTTTACATTTTCAGTGGACATCATTACACCATGTAATTTATACAGAATACAAGTTGTGTCTTATGAATTTATCTCACGGTTTAAATGTTGTCTCATAGAAAAAAAATTGTTTCATCTTTTCTAGGAATGTGATTGTACATGTAATGTCTGGATATGTGTAACTCATTAACTTTAGTTCGCTAAAATCTTAGACACTGATGTTTCTAATACTTTTTGAGTCTTTTGAACAAACAATTACCAAATGGGCAGTTTGAAATATGGTAACATTTGTAAAGACAATTATACACGTCATCCAATACCTAGTTTGTAAAGAAAATTGTTCAGAGAATAAATATCAATTTTGAGTGTAGAATATTGCACGGTTTGAGTTCAAATAATAACAAAGCATTTTAACGAAAACCCGTGCATTATTATACCACAATGCACGAAAATCTATTTCCATTCTAACTCGTCATTGAAAAAATATAGTTGGAGAATATGTTGGACTATATGTTTTGTGGTTAAATTTATTTTCGCCTCAAAGTTTCCAATAGAAACGTTCTTTTAAAGCTGTTCCAGTCGGTTGAAAATAAACTGTTATTAAATTTACTGTTTGCAGAAACATTTTGAAAATAACAAATTTTGAAAAACGTTGATAGCTTTTTTTGTGTTTATTTTATAGTGATGTGAAATTCCAATCGAACGTCCTCGGCTGTTATCTATAATAACCTCGGAAACAATACGGTGTTTCAGATGTAAACATAATGTAAAACGAATGTACATATGATTGACATCCAAAAGTAAATTAAGTCTGTTTCGGTACAATTATGATTGAAAATAAGACTGACATCCATTTTTTATTTAAATATGCCCACTGATGTACAATTTTAAACAAATGCGACTAGTTGTCATTAGGTTGGCATTTTGTACTTTCGGTTTCTACAACCATAATAATAGATAAACAAATAATGTATTGTTTGCTTGTGTATCTATGAATTCACTGATTTTAGGCAGGTATTCACTTGATGTATTGGAAATAAACTTTTCAACAACGATAACTACCAGCATTAAATTACTATTTGTTATCATTCTAGTTTCTTAGCGTAGGTTACCGTTCTGTGTATTCATACTAGTGTGTTCGAGGTCTTTATCCGAAGACTGCTGGAAAGGACCGGTGAAATTCAACTGGTTTGCGACATTGAAATAGCGCTCTTGCTTGGACGTTTTTTGCACGCGCTGTTTGGCGCTACATTGTGGCGTCTTTACTTTAAGCGTCTGTATGTACAGCGTTAATGACTGAATCAAAGGTAAGAGTGTTCGGATTTATTTTCTTAGTTAAACCATTTTCTATCATTCTAGATAGTTTTCCGAACAAAATTCAACAAAAGTTGTTTTATATTTATCAGATTTTTCAAACAAAATGGCGCCGTCAATGCGTAGGTTTGCAAATACAGAGGTAGGAAATTAGAACGGCGAGTGCATTGTTGTAGTATAACGCATGCTTCCGGCCTTCTTTGTTTATATGAGAAAAATCTCCGATAGTGTTAGAATTAATGATATAAAATACCAATTTGAATACAAATGCAGAAATAAAGATGAAACTGTGACAGATATTATTTTTATAAATATCATCTTTGATATAAGGGACGCAATTAAAATCCAGCATTAATTAATAAAGAGTTAATTCGCTTTTCAACCTTGCCACTTTCGTTTTCGGTACCTTTGCTATAATCTAATATTCATCACATTATCTGTAGTGTTTCTAATTATTCCTTTAAATTCATACTATCCAATCAAATTAATTTTTGCTGGGAAATGTAACATTAATATGTACTGTTTTTTCAATTGTAACAATGTCTATTTTAAAAAACTATGTATTTATAGTATAGTGTATTCATATTTTGTATTCATGCAGTTTAAGCTTATAAATTATTTGAAAAACATGAAAAATTACTCTATTTTATTAATGTTATGTTGTCACAATCAAATATTCGTATATACTTGCACCATTGTAAGGCTGATAGGAGGATGTTCCTCGACGCCTATCATGCTAATGACGGGAAAATAAACACACTCACGCACACGCACCAACACGCACACACACGCACACACGCGCACACAGACACACACACATGCAATCAATGTTCCCAATGACTGAATACTCGAACATGTGAATAATGGATGTCTTACCCTGAAATACGACGGGCACTGTTCCACTTAAGGACAGTATTTGCTTTTTTGTCCCGTCTGGAAGAACTGAAATGCCAGGAAAACTACCAGTAGTAAGTTCAGCGGTCCATGTCAATGGTTAAAAATAAAAACATAGCAGGAGCTAACAACTCCAGATTCGTGCTTATTTTCATGGAAATTTTGAAAATTTGTTTAAAAGTATTATTTAGTGACATAACCAAAAGGAAGCAATTTAACTTTATCAATGGTACTTACAACCCACATAAACTAGTAAAAAGAGGACAAAATATGCAACAAATAGCCCTTACTGCGTTAGAAATGCAGTAGAAATATAGAAATAAATACTGAAAAATCAGTCATTAATTGCACATATCATACATAGTATTACTCGAATCTTGAATATTATTACTTTTCCTAATTCCTAGGACATTTTTCTCAAGTTTGATTTAATTGAAATATTTTCGCTAATCTGGAGGCATGCAGCTTTAAGAAAGAAAAACTTGATTTTTTTCTTCTTTAAGATATGTAGACAAAACTTGCATCTGGCACAAAATAAAAGAGTTTGACTTTGTTACTTATACCTTACACACGATGATAATTATTATTTAGGTATAACTTATATCACCTTGTTCTCCAAATGACCCCCTGATATCTGAAAAGACTGGAAAAATTGTAAGAGCATCCTGTTTGGTCTTTTCTTGGTCCATATACTGAAAAAAGGTATTATGTATGACAAATGTGGTTTAATTTTGTCCGTATTGATGATGATGATGATGATGATGACAAAAAAGATGAATTTTTATAATGTTTGTTTGGTTTTCTGTGGTTATGCCGATTTTAACATATCTTTTGGTTATAATTATCTCGGCGGTCGACGCACCTGACCAGTTTTCTTGGATAAATAACCATTAATTACTAATTTCCCCACAAGTGAAGGACTACTTACCCGACATGACTTCTGAATCAGCGGTGAAAGGCAAACGATCTGTAGGTTCAATGTCTAAGATCAATTTTCACGGAGAAATAATGCCTCGAGGATCGATGTAACACCACATATGATAATGCAAATAAATTTCTTGAACTATTATTGACTGATTTTCATAACTTTGCTGACTGATATGTTATATAAAGATAGGTTGTTATGAAAGTATATAACTTAGGTAACCTTTTGATTACCATTTTTCATTAAGATATATATATACGGTCATATAAATAGTCTAAAACGGGTTATAATTCCAAACAACCGTTATTATGGACTATATAACCTGTCACAAAAAAGTAACTTTTCCTGTGTTAAAGTGAAGATATAGTGTTATTTAAAAAAACGAAAAGTCAAATAAGCTACAAATATTCAGGCGTACAATTATGTGCCAGATAAAACAAATTTTAACTCTTTTTTAACTTGTTTTAAAGGAGAAATCCGCTGACCGCGATTTGAATGTGCATGTAGACCAGTAAATACGTGTTTATGTTATGAAACGTTTCAATTTTGGATGTTCTTCTTGTGCCATTCGACACCTTAGACAGCGTTTTCAAGTAACATGCCGTACAGAATATCGACCACGTAGTGGACGCCCGAGCGTCACGACGCGTGCCCAAGACCGCTCTTTTCGGAACACAAACCTGCGCACTCGCTTCCGAACTGCCACAACTACTGCAGCTAACACCCCTGATACACATATCAACCGTATATCTGTCAAACTGTGCGTAATCACTTGTGCGTGGTGGTGGTAAATGGAGGTCGACCATACGTTGGTTGTGTTTTGAGACGACGTCGCCGCTTAAATCGTGTTATTGGGCACGTACATACCAACGCTATCTTAGTCGACAATGGAGAATAGCATTCTTTTCTCTGACGAGTCGAGGTTTTCGATTCATCGAACTGATGACTTGGTTAGACTACACCGTAAGAGAAATGAGCGTTATGCCTACTGCTGCGTACTTGATCGAGTACATTTTTGGGGCTTCGGTTCTGTTTTGGTCTGAGCAGACAGTACACATGGCTTTCACACTAATCTCGTTGTTTTCGAAGAAATTTGAATGCCCTACGCTACCGAGATGAAATTCTCGCGAGGCATGTTATCCCACTGTTTCGTATATTGCCAATATCACACTTTTAAACATGATAGTGCCACAAGCAATACAGCAAGGGACACTGTGAATTCCCTCAGGGCGAAAACATTGCATTTATTAATGACTGGTCTGCCATAATCCCTGATCTAAAACTCATCAAACCGTTAAACACTTTTTGGATAATTTGGGCGTGTTAGACAAAACCCTATTCCATCGTAAAACGTCATTCAGCTAAGACACGCATTCAGGAATGGAACAACATTCCACAGGCCGAAATCAATACGCTCGCCAACGATGCCAGACAGTCCTTCTTGCTGAAGATGGTCATACCCGATATTAATTTGTGATTTTGTTTGGCGACCCCTTATGCATTTAACTAGGTACATTTCACTTCTTTTTGGATAAACCCTCAGCAATATTTTCTCACAAAAATCGCAATAATACAACTCTTTTACAATACAAGCAAATCTACTTTAATCCTGATTTTCATATTTGTGTATATCGGCATTTAAATGCAGGGGAAGTTTCTTTTTTGTTCAGTATATATACTACTACTAGAATGTGACGTCATAAATAGATCAAGCTTAGTCTTTAAAAACCGGGAAAAGATGAACATTTCAACACAGTTCAACCACATTACTATTAAATATTTTATGGTCGACATCAAAATATCAAACTTCATAAAATTACAAAAAAGTACGTGTACTTATATTATCAGTATCATTGTTGTTTGATACTTACGTTGGAAAGTTGAAGCTTCTCAATGTATTTCGATCGATCTGAAATTAATAAACTAATCTGTATGCGTCATTTTTATTTTTGCAATATTATGTGCATGTCTCAAGTCATGTTTTGATGTAATTGTTAATAAGTAAGATACAAAAAAGTGCGAATTATTGAAATGACTGTCTGTTTACGTAGACACAAAACCGTATTCAGCATCAGTAATTTTCCTCTGTCTTGCAAATGTTCATTGATTCCTTCATACGTTTGCAATATAATATTTAAGAAGTTTTTAACAAGCAACTTATGCGCGGCTTGTATTTGTAAATTCATGTCAAAGTCGGTAATAATTTCACAAGACAAACTTGTTAACTTGTTACCGTTTTAATCTAATGTAGTATGTATGTATGTATGTATGTGCGTGCGTGCGTGCGTGCGTGCAAGCGTGTGTGTGCGTATGTATGTATGTATGTATGTATGTATTTTTTGGATTTCAAGTTATACCAACACCGTTAAATTCATGAGGCGACTTTCAAGCTTTCCCAGTGAAGGTGAAGGAAGAACCCAGGTGCCACTTCATGTATTATTTCTCGTAAAATGGGTACCTGAGTAGAACCAATAACCTTCCCGCAAACACATGCAGAGGTACTTACCATCCGAACTAAGTTCTTCGTATACATTTAATGGTAGCTCTTGGCCGAACATTTCTACCAAATCAGAAATTAGTTCCAGCAATGTAGAGTTTCGCTGAAACACACAGAAAACAATTTGACATCGTTTAACTTCCGGAAGATACAAATTACGCAGCATAAACGAGTTTTTTTTGAGATTACAAAGAGTTTATATTCGATGGTACCTTGCTCAAGACGAAATGGAATATGTATGTCACGGTTCAGAACTGTTACCTATTTAGGGAAAAGATCTGTTAGGGCCGGAAGTCAGTGATGACCCCCGCTTTTACAGTTTTCCGAGGATTTGGGGTTCGAACCCCCTAGACTCAAACTTTTTTTTTGGGCGCCCAACGTGGAAAACAATGATGCATTATAAACCACAGTTTTTTTTCAATTACAAAGTAACCCTAAAAAAAATTAGAGGACGATTTTCACCGTAGCGGGGGAGTATGTCACGGTTCAGAACTGTTCACAATTTAGGAGAGAAGATGTGGAAGCGGCCAAAAATAGCTTAGTGGGTAGATCGCACAACGGTATTCCGTTGGTCTCGGGTTCGAGTTCCGGCCATGCTGCACATTTTTCTCACCCAATGACATATACGAGTTATAAAAGAAACAAAAACATATATATCTAAAATAACACAACAATATCTTAATATTTAAACAGACTATTTATAAATACATTTCCTGATAAATATACGAATTATTGAAAAATACGTATACATTTGTTTTATGTTGTGTGTATACCAAAAAATAAAAAGAAGTTATGAAACTATGACTTCGTAAGTTGACTACATCAAATTGTGTGATTCAAATTTTATTTCCTATAAGATTCAGGGATGAACACTCAATAGGGACCATTTCTTACTGTACATTTCTTTTGCTGTAAATAGAAAAAGTAAAAGAGAGACAGTGAGGTGTAATTGTAAGATAAAACGCAATGTTGTATTCCTTAAAAGTGTAAAAGACTGTATCATTTTGTTACAATTAGATGGCAAGATGTTTAATTTAGATTATGATGTATTTTATGTTTATGCTACAATGTACCTACTGGAAATAGTAGAGAATTTATTCTTGAACAGAGTATATTCGATATAATATCTGGTGACATGTGCGTTTTAAAATGTTCATGACAGTACATGTCATTTCCTTATTGCTGCAGATTTCAATGCACGAGTTGAAGAGAAGCCAGATTATGTCGAAAATGAGTTTTTAATTAATGTAGATTTATTACCGGAAGATTACATCGCTGATACTGTTATGTTAAGAAAAAGCCAGGATAAGCAAGGAATGAAAATGGCAAACTTTTATTAAATTTTTGTAAGGCCACTGAGATTTTTAAACGGGAGAACTATCGCTATTAAAAACTTGGGTAAATTTAAAAAGAGCAAGGTAGAAGTGTCATAGAGTGTAGACTCGACCTGATGAAATATGTTACATCTTTTAATGTTGAGGATCCAAATATTATATGTGATCATTGTGTTGTGATTTTTTTTATATTCAAAATTAAACAGTATTGGTGGTGAAATTGTGCAAGATAATAATTTCATTCTGCTGACGTTTTAAAATGCGCGTAATGAGAAATAAGGAAAAGCGGCAGCCCAGACTTAGTTTTAAATGATTTTTTAAAATATGGGTCTCAAAATAGATTTCTATCTTTCCTTAAAAATTATTTAACAAAATCTTTGACCTCGGTTATTTCCCTGTAAAATACTGTTAAGTACTATAGGCAAGCTATTTACTAAAGTTTTAAATATCCGATTAAATATTTGGGCCGAAGACTACAATTGTGTATATTGAAGCACAGGCAGGGTTCCGTTCCGAAAAATATGGGAACGACTGATAATATTTTTATTCTACGTGGATTAATAAATCATATGGTTAACAAAAAACAAAAACTTTTTTGTATGCCTTGATAGAATTTTTACCAAAGGCATTTGATTTTGTTGTACGTGATACAAATATGGTATAAAAATTACTTAAGCTAGACATAAGAGAAAAGATATAAGATGTTATAAGATCAATGTATGATAATGTAACATATAGAGTTAAGCATTTAAATACAGTTAGCACTGATTTTGCAAGCATGTGGGCGTCCGTCGAGGAGAATGTATTTCGCGTTTTTTATTCTCAATGTACTTTGAGGAGCATTTCGTATTACATGGGTTTGATGGTATAAACTAAGATATGTTTTAAAACTTTTTTTCCTTATTGCTTTATGCTGAATGAATATTTGTTTGATTTTGCTGTGAATAACCGAAAACTATGTTGGTTTTACAAAAGGTTTTTTGGATCGGTTATTTAGACCTATTGTATGAAATTTTTGAAACTAACAGTTAATGTTGAAAAATAAAGGTAATTTTATTTAGAAAAGGTGGAAAACAGAAGAAATATGAACTTCACATATATTGGTCACACTGTAGACACTGTTTAAAAAAATTTTATTTAGGTATTACATTTACCACAGGTGGTTCTTTAAGCGCAACATACGAGGCATTAGCGGGCAAGGCATTGAAGGCAATATACAAACTCTTATTAAGTTAAATTCACTTATATTGATGTTAAGCAATCGATAAGTTAGTTGTTCCTATATTAAACTATTGATGTGAAATATGGGGATTCAAAGAAACAAATGTTATAGAAAGAATACATTTACAATATTGTAAACACTTTTAAGGAGTGCGTGCCCAAGCCCAGAATAATTTTGTCAATGGTAACAAGTTTATTTTCTAATAGGTTAATATGTATAGTAAGATACTGGTGTGAAATATTAGAATGCGAATGCACAAAATATGTAAGACATGTATTCGATATGATGTTAAGAGACTTATAAATATATTGTAATAAGATTTCATGGGCATATAATCTTGACTCATTAGGTTTTAAACATGTGTGGCTATTCCAAGGAGTTGGAAATAAAATATTTTAATAGATGTATTTAAGCAAAGACTGTATGATAACTGTTTACAACTATGGAAAGCTCAATTAGAACATTCGACAAAGCCAGGACATATAAACTTTTTTCATGTTATGGATATCAGTCATATTTAGACATTGTTAGAATTACTAAATTTAGAAAGGCATAAACAAGAGTGTCATCACATTATTTAGAGGTAGAAGCTGGTAGATGACATATATTACAAAAATATCATTTGACGAAAGAAAGTGAAGACTTTGTAATACTTTAGAGGATGAGTTCCATATTTCTATTAGAATGTCCCATGTACCAGGATATAAGACAAATGCATATGAAAAAATATTTATGGAAGCGACCTTATGTAATCAAATTTAGAGATTTATTTGAATCTGAAAATATTTGGATTATTAAAAATTGAGTAATATTTGTTGGCAAAAAATTTGATAATAGAGACAGTGCATTGTAGCAACGATGACCTTGTCCTCTCGCTGTGACATAATTATATATATATATTACATTAAATAAGTTATGATGAATAAGAATCGACTACGAATTTAACTATTTCATGTATAGCATGCTTAAATCATGTCATTGATGTTATCATATACATTTTATATGCATCACATATATTAAAAACTAGATATGTTATGATGAATAAGAATTGACTATAAAGAGACATATGTTATGTACACCTTGCTATATCATGCCACTGATGTCATGTATCTGCTGATTGTCTTATGACTGTGTACTGACGGGTATATTTGCCTTTGTATGAATAAAGTTTATCTATCATGTACTGTTAGTACTATATGAAAAAATAATACAATAATCTGATCTGACTCAAGAAGTTGATTATATGACCAAGTTGTGAAAGATTGTGTTTATAACGAGGTAGTCAGTGACTTAGAATAGAAAACGTACGTTCCACTGTTTTATGTATTCTGTATATACTCTTCCATCTGTATCTATATAGCTATAGAGAATGTACTTTGAACTTGTTACGAACACCGCCGGCGCCGTGTTAGGATGGTCGTCTGATATCCATACAGCTATAGGTGTATTAAACGTTTTACCTAGATAGTGTATGTAGAAACATTTCCAATTAACAGTGGACTGGTCACTATGGTGACTACTCAGCATATTTGTAGGTAGCATTTATCGGTATTGAATTATTTGTAGAAGATATTTGGTACAACAACCACCGAAACCCCTCACACGGACAAATGAATTTGCAGCAAGTTAGTATTGAGGATTGGATATAGCTTAAGACGGTGCTTGATGGAGACTCAAACTGTATTTGCAATATTTATATAAGATTGCTGTTATCATTAATTTTGATGTATCTCCCGTTTTTTAGTTTTCTATTAGTAGTATTCATGTCAGAAGTAGTATAAACTTAGTATATGTCTTAGTTTTAAATCATAATGATGCTCAATTAGCTAAAATATGATGTTAACTCCGTCATGTCATTGCCATTATAATCGGTAAGTCTTTGTTCATCTCAATATTTTCTTTCAGAAACAAACTCCGATACTATTAAAGGCACATTATGCATCAGAAACCCATATTTTTCAGTTCAAATGAAATGTAAAGCATGGATTTAGGGCAATTTAGAAACACTAACAACTGAAAATGTAGCACTGAACGTGCGATAATGTTTCATAAAGGTAACAAAATGTAAACAAAGTAGTATTTTAACTTCCATACAAAATACTAATTCACTATAATTATACCAATTGTCATCAAAGCAAAAGAAGCAACATATTGCACTATGAGTTAACTTTTTGAAACTAAAACAAATATATAGAAACATAAAAAATATGAGTAATAAAATGATTGCATTTCTGAGGCATAATGGGCCTTTTAATTAAATAAATTTTTCAAAAGCATTAAGTAAGTTCTGAAGTTCTAATTACCTATCCAAGGTGCGGGATATGTTCCCTGGAACACTACGGAAACTGTTCCATGCAGCTGAAGCAGAAGCTTTGTTTCAACGGGTGAAGTTTCTATATCAAAAGATAAAGAAGTTTTCAATCTGATAAAAAACTAACATGTACACTGTGTAACGATATCGGTGATGAATTTCAGTTCAGTTTTCAAAGAGGATAGAAATATATGCATAAATAATAACTTTAATAGAAATCAGCATAGAAATTTTAATCGGTAAGTTTGTTTATACATGTATCTAACTAAAAGTTTCTATAGTTTTCTTTTATTTGCAAAGTTCTTGGTTTACTTTGTTTCCCATTTCTGTGAGACTTGTATATAAAATGAAAGTTAATTAATTTTGGATTTAAAATAATTTGGGTGGAAACGAGACCAAGTACATGTCATCACTTCATATCATTTCAGAATGGAGCGGACATAAATATAGAATCTTCGATATTAAGGAAGCTTCCTGACTTGAAAATGTAACGTAAATTGCATGGGATTTAACTCAAAATAGGATTGGAGCAGTACCTCTCGACGCTTGCAGAAATCACGATCACTCAAAAGGCAAATATCGTATGTTTTCTTTTATCGCCCATTCTTATATTTTTCATTCATAATCGTATAAAAACCGGTGTGAAAGTTTTAAAGTTCATTCCGTAAAGTAAAAAGGCGAAATTCCCGAATGTCACCGGAATACGGTATCTATAGTGTGGTGCTCCACTCATCCATTTGTGATGATAACGTTGAGGTATAATTGTTTCAGTGTCAATAACCCGAAGAACTCACACTGGCAAAAAAGCCGACGAAAACATATTACCTTATTTTTTTTATTTTTTTTTTATTTTTTTTTTGGGGGGGGGGGGGTGAATAATTGTCATCTTTTATCACTTGATGTAAATATGTGACGAAGTTATTTCAAACAAAACGCAATGCATACCAACTTTTAAGAACATGCATTATTTCATAATAATTAAACACAGTTTCGTAGTTTTTGTTGTTGTTGCAGTTTTAATCCTAACAAACTTACTAAATTCTTCTAACTTTGGCCTAAAGTCTTGAAATACCGACATCACCTCTTCAACTTGACTTTTGGTTCTTCCTGGATTCTGATACTAAAAGTAAAACATCATGAAATATTTTCACAATGATTGGATACACAGGGCTGTATTTTACAGCCGCCACACTGCTCACACGTGCCAATAAAAAGAAAACATGTATTCCTTAACGAACGTCCGACACGGCATTGAAAATGTTACAGTGTTGGATTCAGAATGTTTATGGGCGGTAGTTGTGATGGGCGGTAGTTGGGAAATGTAAGCTCCCTAGCACCGGCTTTAACAGAACTTAACGTTTACAAAAACAAAAAACAGCCACAGATATGATGGTCGGTATCGTCCATTAAAGCGCGAGAAAATTTACCGTCAGTCTGTTCTTCAAAGTTGTCTAAAATGTTGAAAAAAGCAATAAGAACATTTTGTCCAGCACTTATACTTTAATTTTCTAAAAGTTATTTCCTTTCAAAAATAATGATATTATGTGTCATTAGATAAGGTATTTGTAATTCTGTTGGCAGCTTTAGTTTGTTTAAGGCACTTTAAAATTCAGACACTATATACACAGTGATACAGGTTCATAATTGCCTTCTTGTTAAGTATAGCTGTTTTAACCACATTTTAGCGATTACAATAGAAGAAACTATAGAAGCTAGGGAATTGTTGCAATTAATTGGACTTAAAATCTTAGGTTTTATATGTATATTTACCAGGACAGTAGCTTTGGTATTTGATACAAAAATTCATTTTCTGTGTAATTTAAGTATACATTGTATTTTAAACTACTACACCATAAATTATTACATTGTTATTCTATCTTTATTTGTTTTTTAATTTGATGAGTGTAGTTAAAGAGTAAGTTCCAATGCATTTATGCTACTCAGTATTTGATTAAATGCAAATGTCATAATTTAATCAAAATGCTTTATTGAGATCATTTCAATAATTATCGCATTTTTATGCTTATTGAGTTTTTTAACCTTCCTCAAATAGAAAGAAAGTACATCCTAGCAAACATTAAAAGTGTAATATAATTATCAATAATCTTTAGTTGTCCCTCTTTTTCTATGGGAATTTAGAGATATACCATTTCAAAGAGTGACCTAAAAGAATAAAATAAAACTTACTCTCAGTGGCAGATAACTCAGAAATTAGGAAGATAACCCATATTATTTGTTTCAAACATAATACGGTTTAATTATAGTGGAATCATTTTTAGTCACGTAGGATGAATTTTCTCGTAGTTTGCGCTAGGACAAATGCGCGAATGTTAGTCAGCGCTAATATAAAACCAAACAAATTTGTCAAAAATATCAAATGTGTCCGAAAGATATACGTTGGTCACAACATTTCCCGAATCATGCCACTCGTCAGTGTCGTTTATTGATTCAAAGTATTACTAGTAGTAACTTTATTAGTTGTACATAATTATACAAGTTAAATATTTATTCGCCGGCAGTAGAATTTTTGTTAAAGTCAGTAATTGAAGTTACACAACTTGTGAAATATGTTTGTTTGTTTCATTTTACGCCTTTTCCCAACAGTATTTCAGACATATAGGCGGGTAGTTTCCTAACCATCGTTCCTGGAGAGTTACACCAGTACTAGACTACCTTCCTCCGCTCTAAACTATCAAAGCATCTCCCGGGGATCGAACCCACGCCAGAGAGGTAAATGGATTAGAAATCATCGACTCTAACCCCTCAACCACGGAGGCGGTCTTGTGAAATATGAATACAGTATAAAAAGTAAGGAAGGGCCATATCTAATGCAGGAAAGAAGGAATTCTAATTTCCTTTTATCTTGTATAGTTACGTGTTGTGGCGATCATGCATGTACACGAGGTCACAAAAATTGCACTGTGTGTATATTATGAACAAAAGTTTGTAGAACACGAAATATCCCCCCACTTCATACATTCTCTTAGTGACCTTTGACCTACTGATCTTAAAATAAATAGGGGTCATCTGTGAATGATGATCAACTTCCCTACCAACTTTAAGGATCACAGGACAAAACATACTGAAGCTATGTTTTCTCCGAAAATTGGGGCATAAAGATCTTTATGATGCATTAATATTTATTCAAAATATATAAATGTAACGTATTTATACTGTACTTTCTTTGAACTGCAATATTAATATTAAAGTCTATTTAAACGCTATATTTGATATTCAATAAGTCACTTTCGTCAGGTTCACCATGAGCGAAAGGAAGATAGATGTTTCAGCTAATGTATAAACATTGTGCAAATAAATGAAGATTAAATCCTCTGAATGATTTAAAAAAATCAACTAAAACAAATTTAGTGTTCATAATATATATGTCTACAAACTGCAAATTCAATTTAAACGCTACATTTAATATTTTAACTTTCATTTCCTCTCGCTCACAGTCATCCGAATAAATCACTCGTATTGTTCTCTGTGAGCAAAAGGAAGATATCTGAACTTGTATACAGTATCGAAATTATGCAAATAATTTGATATTAAATCATCATAATCATTATTTTGGGGAAAAGTATCAATCAGTTATGAAAAATTCGTCTACAAACTGCAAAATTATTGTAAATGTCAATTAAAATACTATACATGTATTTAATATTTTAAGAGTCATATTTTTCAGTGTGAGCGGAAGGAAGATCTCTGAACTTGAATACAAAAATCATGCAAATAAATCATCATAATTATTTTTTTTTGACAATAAATATTATTAATTTCTGATAATATACGTCTACAATTCGCGTATTAGCATAATTTCCAATTTAAAAGCTTTTTTGAAATCTTATAAGTCACTTTCGTATTTTTCAATGTGACTGAAAGGAAGATCTCAGAACTTGTGTATAGAAATTATACAAATGAATGGAGATTAAATCAATATTATGATTATTTTTGATAAAAAGTATAATAAGTTTCGAATATTATTCGTCTGCAAACTACAATTTGATTGTAAAATTTTATTAAAATGCTATAAGTCATATTTTTAAAGTCACTTTTGCTCACTTTCGTCAAAAAAGTCACTTATTTGGAAGTGGCTAGACGGCTCGCCAAAAGTTCTAGCTGTACGTGAGTCACGTACGTATAGCCAGGACATACTGTATTGGCACTTTCAAAAATTATATTGAAGTCGAAAATGCATATGTTATTTTATGACTTTACTTCTACACTTCTATGTATCTATCTATGTATCTATCTAATATGTATCTATTTATGTATCTATGTGTCTGTCGGTCTGTCTGTCTGTCTGTCTGCATGTCTGTCTGTCTGCCTGCCTGCCTGCCTGCCTGCCTGCCTATTCCTATTCCACTCCGATCATGCCGTTATGAATTCGATCCTTGCGCTTAATTTACAAAAAACTCATTTAACAATTTATCTTTCATACAACATATACAAATTAAACAACAAATCATAAGCATGAAAAACAACGACGTTATAATTTTTAACTGGGACAGAAAGTTATCTTCCGTCCCAGCTTTTAACATGCAACTCTGACAGTTTTATCAAGATTACATTACGTTCGTATTCATTTTTTTACAAAATGGCGGATCATCTTTATTAAATTGAACTCACGAGGGCAAATGCGGGGACTTGTTTAAAATCCTCGTTAAAAGACACAAAATAACATATGCATTTTCGACTTTCATATAATTTTGAAAAGTTCCGTACGGCTAGACAATACAGTGTGTCCTGGCTAGTCGAACGTGACTCACGTACGGCTAGAACTTTTGGTTAGCCGTTCGGGTCACTTCCTTCGTATTTTAAAACCCCGATGAGTGTATAAACCACGTGGTGTGTATGCCGCATTTTCATTGGATGTTGTTTATCTTAGCGAGAACTTTAGTCGAGTGTCTACAATGGTCTAAATAAAAACTTTTTTTTTTTTTTGAATTATTTCATCGCGTATTTTTTTTCAAATAATTATTATAACTTAATTATATACTGATATTTACGGTGGCACAAAGGTGTCGTGCGCACTAGATACTATGTCGTGGCCACGAGTTACTTAGTTGTGGCCACGTGATAGCTTAGTCGAGGCCACGAGATACTATGTCGTGGCCACGAGTTACTTAGTCGTGGCCACGAGATACTATGTCGTGGCCACGAGTTACTAAGTCCTGGGAACGAGATAACTAAGTCGTGCGCACGAAATGATTAACCACTCAGAATACACTATATATATTATGATTTTTTTTAAATACTAAAGATATCACTTTGAACTTGTCTTTAGAATCATATAGGAAAGTCACCTTCCAAGGCCCACCAGACATTTATTTTGACTATAGCCCTTTGTTGGGACAATTTTGTGATCGAATTGGTCAGTTTGTACGTACAGCGGTCTGTTTACCTTGTTTATACGATAACATGAGAAGGAATAAGGCTCGTATTGAGAATGGATACTTACACTCACACTCGATGAGTTAATCCCATATAGTAACTTAGTAACTAGTGGCCAAGACATAGTATCTCGTTGCAATGAGATAAATAAAAACACATACATGTCACCTTTGTGCCACCGTAGATATTCGTTCATGTTAAAAAAATTAAATGAACATTTTCACGATACTCATTTACGCGAGATTAGGCCAAATCAAAATGATCTTGTGGTTCCAGTAAGCTGACCGACCCTGTATTTCCGCACCTCATCTAGAACATTTTATTGCAAAAATAAAGTATCCTATAGTGTATATATCTCACATACAATTAAATTTTAATAAAATACTGATGAAAAAAGTTTTTCCGATCTACCTACCCTATTATTTTTCAGCATGTTACCAGAACCTCAAGATCATTTTGTTTTGGCCTTATGACGTTAAACACATAGGCAAAATTTTCCAAATTGTATTTTTATCCAATGTATATCTTATCACACGCTGGCCTCGAGGTCGAAGGACTTTGTTCGTGTATTTGTACATAACAATTTACCTTCTATTGTATTATCAGTGCACTACATGTTAATCATTTAGTTGACTCTGATTGACATGTATACACGCGAGATAGGTGACAACGTTCGAAAGAGCAAAGTTGTTCAAATCTTTGTTCTTTTCTTCTAGATTTTTTCAA